TTTGACCACATGCATTTGGTGCCCTCAGGGACGCCGGGAGTCAGGTTGGGCTTTGAAGCCTACTGCCGTGTTTTATACGCTTCTTACCGTTACCAAGAGTAAAGAGGAACTCCTTTATGCTCATGTACAATAATTACATCGTCTTGCCTCCACTCAGAGGCCTGCTTTTCCCTGTCATTTTGAAGGATATATTTGTGAATATTTATAATACCGCGCAATTATATGATCTATTTCATTGTTTTCCCCTTCTGAATAGGCGAAACTTACAACTTTTCATTTTAACCCTCTCTGAAATGACGTTCCACCGTCACTGGACCAATTTTGTCGAACTCGTCTTCCTGCTTCACGCCAATGATCATCTCCAGCATAGGTCTTTGTGTCCGGTCAAAAGCATGAATAATCTCGGCACACTTGCGGTAAACCGCGGCTTCTTGTGATCTCTATCCTCCTTTTGCCTCGTTGCATAGGCCTCCTCTGTCATACCACAGGTCATTCTGGACATTGTTGCCGGGTGCACTCCTTGGCTCCGTCTTTGTCTCAGCCTCTGCACACCTCCAAGACACCTGTCAGCTTGTGGGCGCTTGACGTCGGACGTCGTCTCTGAGGCAACCGGAGACACGGCACCCAGAAATTTGCCGAGTCGGGATGTCTGTTAGGCTGTAGCATCCTCTTAGCAAAACTGACTGTGAAGAAATTTGCTCTCTTTCTTGTCTTCTCCACCTCCACTTCCGCCTTACTTCCTGTTCATTCTTGAACTTCTTTTACTTTGTAAATGTTTTTCCATAGACAAATACACCTTCCGCTTGCACACCTCCTCCAGACTCACGCATTTCAGACATGGTAGACGATTAGCGCCTCGTCTGATGAGTTGTTGTTGTTGTTGTCGATTATGATGTTGCTGCTTCTCCGCAGTCAACAATCATCTCTTCCCTTCACTTCGGCCTTTAGTTGTCCTTCGCCAGAGTCAATCGCACATAAAGACACTCGGCAAACGAACGCGACAGCCTTCATTCGCATCATATCTTCATCCCGGATGCAAGCCCGGGGAGTGGGACTGTGATGTGGCCGAATCGTGGTATACATCAAAGGTCGGAGTGGGCCTGGCCCTAAGCGACCAGGTCGCCCAGACCCTTTGAAGGTGCATGAGAAGGCACCCAGATTCGAGAGGAAAGTTAGACTGTGTTTTAGTCAACTTCCCCTAGTTGGAAAGCCTGCGAAGTGGTTCAATCTCATCGGAATCTCTTCAATCTATTCCAGACAACTTTTCATATGGAATTAGGAGTGATGGGAGTAAACTTGTGGCCGTTTCGGACACCTCATTCGAAGAGTAAGTAGGTCGTGAAAGACAATCGGCATTTTAAAGACGCTCAGAGAACGGAGGACGTATGTGAAATGGCAATATATTCTCGAATAAGAGTTGTAGTCGCCGTAGGCCGCCCAATTCAACGAAGGACTGATAGTTGAATTTTTCCACAATTCTACATCCTAAAAAGTCTTCTCATCCCGTCTGGGCCAGGGGCTAGTTACGACCTCGTTTTGCCCCTCGAGCGTTCTCGAACCTGGTAGTCTTAATAAGCCTGCCCTATGAACCACTTGTGCTCATAGCACCCGCTCAATTGCTCATGCTCGATTCCAGTTGGAGGTGATAATAAGCCCAAGACGAAGTCGAGACTGCAGACCAAAATGGATGGGAATACCTTTTGGGAGGTCATGCTGAGTGAAATTCCATAGTATCGCGAGGATTATTCATATGATGTAGGAAAGACTGATGATTATGAAATACTAATAGACGCAAAAGTATATTCATAATAAGTAGGTTCCGACCACATTTGTATTTAGCATAAAGTAATTAATCTTTCCCAAATTGCTTCACGTTGACATCGCGTAAGATATTCCCTTACAAATTGTACTAAAGTTTGTGACCTCTCCTAAAGCTTTTCAGCAACATCACGTAATTTTGGGGTCAAAACTCCATTATCAGCTCTTATAAACGTTAAGGGGTCTAGACTAACTATGTTCTTATTCATAATTGTCCAACAAGCAGACGTTGAGACGCCATCATTTTGGCATATTATGGAATTTTCGGAATACAAAATTGAACACTTCTAGTGAGAGCGGTTTTGTGTTCTGATAATCTTATGTGGATGGGTCGACAGCTCTCTTCCACATACCCATTATCGCATAAACACAAAACCTTACAATAGCTCGATCTAAAGGGGGTCTCCGAAAATTCTCGACAAGAAGGTTCTACTTAATAAAGTGTTCATTTCTCTTTATGCATTATTTTGACGTTCCACTCGCTCAATTGGTCACCAAGCTCTTTCACAAGTTGACAGAAAGACAAAATCAGGAACGGAGAAGAATGATCAATCTCTCTATACAACATTTAATGACAATCTCTCCTCATCCTGTTATTGAGTATTGAAATGTAATTATTCATCAATCTCAATAAACAATTGCCCCAAGATAGCATCTCTTTCCATCTGCCAATTTCATGGGCTCTGAGATTTACGCCTGCTAAAAGTAAACACCTTATTATAATCTAGTTCATAACTCATACTTTAAGTTAATATGAATAATTAAATAAGAAAATAGAGGTATCGTGACATATACAACATCACGATTTATTTGTACTAATTTAAAGCAAATCTCAAAAACTTGGAAGCTCTAGATGAGGTTGTCAGATGATAAAAAGTAGAGAATTGCTTCTATGCAATGTCTAAATAAAATACTATTCAGATAAACGGGTCAAGAAAGGATTTAGAGTTATTCTGAGATCATAACAGGTAAATGGTCAAACAGAAATGTAATAATTAGATTAGTCAATTTCGTCATTAATAGCAAATAGTTTGCTTTGAATGGGAAGATGAATGATCGAAAACACGTGGTTTATTTAGGCCTTAGTTTAGCTAATAATCCATGGTTGAATTGGAAATTCGCGCTTTTCAAGAGGCACTCGTAGTTCCAAGGCTATTATCTCAGTAGATAGACGATAATATTTCTGTTTGTCAGCGCGGTAAAAGTACGATGATAAACTAGGTTTCGATGAATCTCTTGAGATAACATTGTTAGGGGGACTTTCAGTTCGTATGAAAGTGAATGAAGATAAGATTCGTTGGTCGATCTCACCAGATGAGGACGGATGAATCTCGTTGTACTGCAGCCGTTTGGCTATTATATGATATTCATGTTGACGCAGTCCATGGGACTTCCCTCGTTTCGTGTGAAAACGTGCTGAGATTCCGTCCATCATATGATGGACATCATCAGAGCTGGGTGTTATTCTTGTAAAAGTCTCACGTTAACACTAAAGCAAGAACACTATCCGGTTCTATCTTACTTCTTACATAGACTTAATTGAGCCAAAAGAAAATTAAAAATTAAACACCTAGATGGATATAGAGTGGTTTGGCTAATTATCTTTCATACTTGATATGCTACTTTTGCTCAAGTGTATGCGTGTGTGTGTTAGCGTCTATACGCAATACCGGTCCTAAATCAGAGTTATCAAAAGTTATCATCAAGACCTGATGACCTCAAAGAAAACCCTGACCGAGACTGCGTAAGTCCGTGAGCAAGTATTATTGAGATAATGAGATAGGAGCTTATAAGCATGTAAGTCAAGCTAGGAAACCACTTGTCATAAGCTCTCGGTCTACGGTAATTAACGTTTAACCCCCCAAGGAAAGGAAAGACTGGGTTGCGTAAACTGACATGTCTGGTTTGGTTGATGAGCTCACTCTAACCTGTTGGCTGAATGTAAGTGAAGTTAGAACCATCACCGAGCAGACAAATTGAGTCGCCTTCTTTTTGACGGTGGCTCAACATCCTCTCT